CATAGAGGGGGAGGATCACCTCTTTTGACCTGCTTGAAATGCATCTGTGGATGCATGACAAGGTACGGTTGGCCTTCCTAACTGCCTCCCCACACTGCCGACCCATGTTCATCTTGGAGTCGATGACTCCAAGATCCTTTTCTGTCTCCGTGCTGAACCCCTGCAGGATACATCTGGGTGCTTCTTATAGCCTGAAGCATAGAAAGTAGCCTCCCTTAGTCAGCTGAGTAAAGGGAGCAAGAAGATCTGCCCAATCCCTCTCAAGCATGTGCAGCAAGGCTGGCTATAACAGATAGCTTTATGGGGTAGAGAGGGTAGGCATGGGGATGGGTACAAGTCAGAGCAGTAGCAAAAGAACAAAAAAACATAGTTGTTTCTATGAATCCAGAGATGGGTATGGTAGTTACATGTGTTAGTCTGAAGTCAGGCAAAAGGCAGGGTAGACTTGCATCTTACAGGCTAACAAAATCAGAGATGCATAAGCTTTTGTAAGCAGAGGCTTACTTCATCAGATGCTGTGAAGGGACTGCAGGAAGCAGAGCTTCAGTCCCTTCATAACGTCTGATGAAGTAAACCTGCTTACAAAAGCTTATGCATCTCTGATTTTATTAATCTGCAAGGTTCAAATTTACTCGGCTATCTTCTCTGAATATGTCAGGGTGGGAATACCAGGGAGGGAGGAGAACAGCTTAAAGGACAATGTTGATGCAAGAAAAGATGTGCATAAATGATTCATGAATAAATTTAGGCTGGAAATCAAAAGAATGTCTCTACCCTTCAGAGTTGCAAGGGTCTAAATCATCCTCAGAAAGAGCACGGTTGGGAGAAAGCAACTTAACCGGCTTGAAGGTGCAGCTTAATAAATTTCTTTAAAAGGATTATATGACATGGTTGATTTATGATAGCTGGGGACTGGACTCAGTGACCCAGAAGGCCCCTTCCAACCTAATGTCCTATATTCTTACAAAGGTCATTCTTCCAGGCTATTTCCTTGGTAGGTCCTAGTGCAGCAAAACTTAAAGAAAGAAATCCATTGTTTTGTCTCCCAGATATGCTTTTTTCCTCCTGTTTGTTCCTTTTGTCCAGTGCAGTTCTTTGGTGTTCCATAGATGAGCAGTTTCACGCACTTTTATAGTTTGGCTATATAATATGTTTCTTACAGAGCCTCCCTCTGGTGTCTCCTGCTTTGCAAATCCAGCGTTTTGTTGGAGTACCTCACTGAAACAGGCTTTGCCTCGTATCCTAGAGGGAGAAACTGGGGCACAGAGGCGTTAAAGGGCCTTTTCTAGAGTAATGTAAGGAATCCTGTGGCAGAGCTGGAATGGAACCCTGGCTGTAAGGCTCCTCTCCCATGCATTCAGCCCTGGCTGTGTTTTCCCTTTGCTATCCTGTGCTCTCTTCATGTATGTGTTTTTTTTCTTTTCTTTTTTTCCACCACAAAACGTTTTGGTTTTTGGCTCTGTAGGGATTTTTGTTGCTGTTTCACCCAAGCCAAGATCCCTCTCTTCTCATGTATATCATGCTGCTCTGCAGATCCTGGCCTGGTTTGAAGAAGGTGAAGAGACTACGACTGCATTTGTGGAGCCAGTTGTCATCATCATGATTCTCATAGCTAACGCTGTTGTGGGAGTGTGGCAGGTATGTCCTAGCTCTTGCCTCCTATTCTTTTCAGTTCCCTGGTGAATAATTGTGGGAGGGGAGCTATTTGCCAAGCTCCAGGAGCTGTGTAATTTTCATGAATGAAGCCCTGTTTCTTTAGCTGAAGCTTGTTATTTACTTTATGGTGGCTGGGTCTTCACTGCAGAGGTAACTTGAGTTCTCTTTACTTGGGGTAGGTTCTCTTAAGTCAGTGGTGGGCAAAATACGGCCTGGGGACCGGATCCAGCCTGCCAGGCTATTTTATCTGGCCTGCGGAGCCCCTAAAAAAATGTAGAAAATTAATATTTATTTGCTCCTAGCTGCCTGTCAAAGATGACAGGAGCCAGGGGCAGTAGGACCCAGAGGAAGCTGGTGGCAGAACCTAGCAGCAAGGCCTGCCCAGCTCTGCCCCTGCAACCAGAAACCCATGCTTAGCAGAGACTTCTGGCCTGAGACCATGGGGCTGTTCCTGCTTCCCGGAACCAGACAGAGAAATGTGGCCCTTAACAGCTTGCCAAAACTTGGGAGGTGGCCTTCCGCCCGAAATAATTGCCCACCCCGTCTTAAGTGATCCTGCATCAAATAAAAGCAAATGCGCTGTAGAACAGGAGTCAGCAGTGTTTTTGGGCAGAGTGCCAAAAATACCCACAGCCTCAATTTGTAAGATGTTGGTGCGCGAGAGGGATGGCAGGGGAACCACAAGGGGCCCGATTTCTTGTTGCGGCAGTGCAGCCCTAGCCCCTTCCCCGCTGTCTGTCCCGAGGCACGTGCGCCAAGCAACATGCCTTCATGCACCAGGCTCTGGCATCCATGCCAGGGATTGCTTACCCTTGCTGTAAAACAACACTAGTAGTCCAGAGAGGAATTGCTAACAGCTGCCAAGTTGTGCTCCGTTGAGCTTTAGTCCAGGCATATCCAACTGCTAAATGGCCAGGGGTCAAATACTCCCCAGGCTGCGCACCTGCAGGCTGTACCAGGGCAAGCCACAGGCCCCCTGGGCCTGCATGACATGTGAATACCCCCTTCCCCATTTGCTGCACCATGTACTTACACCTCTATCCCACACCTCCAGCACTGCACCACATGCCTGAACGGTACCTGGCTCACCCTCAGCTTTCCTAGTCACACTGCAGTGCCCTACCCTCTGGAGCAGGAGCAGGCAGTGAAAGCTAGAGGAGGGGAGAGATGGTGGGCGCTGAGCCCAGAGAGTCCAGCTACTCTTACAGCAGGAGCAGTGGTTGGGTAGGAGTCTGGCAGCTGCAGTGTAACCCCTGTGGCCACATGCAGCCCTCCTTTAGGCTAAGCCCCTTCTTAATCTAACCAGCTCCAGTTAAGAGCACACAGTAGTTGAGTTCAGGGGTTTTATACATGGATGAGACTTGAATTGGGGGCGGCACCTTCGAGTTATACCTCAACTTCAGCCCGTGGTGGAGACGTTTATGCAGCTGTCAAGACTGAAGATCAGAGAAAGCGGAGCATTTGGAGATTAGGAGCAGAAATTTCGGAAAACAAATTAGGAAACTAAATTGAGGCAGATAACAGTAACCTTTTAATTGCCAAATGGTGATTTTGAAATGAGCAGCCAGAGTCTGATGGGGGAAAAACTTTTTCCCTCTCACCAGTTCAGCTCCCCTGGTATTACCCATGAGTAGGGCATAGGCCTTGAGCTGGTGAATTTCACCCTGTAAAACCCGTTTTAAAAAAAAACAAAAAACCCTGTGAGAACTTTCAAGGATATAAAATGCCACTCTACATCAAAATAGTTAGAATGACATTCACTGCATTTAATCTTTATTTTGTCATCCCTTTAATCTCTCTTTGGCAATTTCCATAGTTTGGAGCTTAGGTTCCTGCACTTATTCACCACCTAGTTAAGCACCACTTAGCTCTTGGCAATAGCTGCATGCATTTTTCAACAAGCAAACTTTTTCCTAATGCTCCCACAGAGAAGTAATAGTCCTTGCCAGATACTTTCACTTGCCTAATTTTGTTCCCTGGAACATCTTGCAGTCTGACCTCCATCCTGATTTAAACCACTTATTCTGTGCAGTTCCAAGATCCTGTTGATACCTTTTTACATGGGTCCAAAATATTAATACTGCTTTACATATTCAGAACACTTTCCTTGCAGGAACCTTTAAAGTTGCTTCCACACGCTTGCTAACTTGAGCTCCACAATGGTAACACGTATGAACGAGTATTACCCATTTCATAGATATAGAAACTGAGACAGGAATGTAGCACAACGGGACTTAAAGCCAGAAATTCTGACTCCTAGCCATGTGCTGTAACCATTGCCAGTGTCTTTGATTTCATGTCTTTGTCTTTCCCACCTTTAAGGGTAGTAGCAAAGTTTAGCACTGTATGTATACTGCTTTGTTGTTCACAAACTCTTGTCCCTCCATGAAGTAAGTAAGTAAGTAGGGTTTGTGTGTGTGTGTGTGTTTGTTTTTTTTTCCCCTACCCCTATTCTCCTATGGAAAAAATGAGGTACAGCAAGGTTAATGTACTTCCAGTGCAAATCTGGCAAAGCCAGGCTCAAGATTTAAAAGATTCCAACTTCCTGTCCTTTGTTCTGACAAACTAGTTCATGATTCTGCCCAGCAGACAAATAGGGGGATGTTTGCTTATCAGCAACTACTCCCTCCAATGATACAATTGCCTGAAGTTCTGCTTCTTGCTGTATTTCCAGGAGAGAAATGCTGAGAGTGCTATTGAAGCCCTAAAAGAATATGAGCCAGAAATGGGAAAGGTGATACGCACTGACAAGAATGGAGTCCAGAGGATCCGGGCTCGTGATATTGTACCTGGGGATATCGTGGAAGTGGCAGGTAGGCGTAGCACAGAGGTCCACAGCCCCCTCTCTTTTTGGATATGCATTAGGGTACTGTTAGAGATTCTCTGGTGTTCTGAAGGCAAAGCAGCCTGTAGCTTTTGGCCAGGTACCTGCTGTGCCTCCTAGCCATGGGAGCAGTAGCGTAACTAGGGCAGGGCAAACATGGCACCAGCTATGAGGGACTGCCAGAACTGCCCTCCCCCCCAGGAGTCTTTGCCATGGCATGGGCAGCATGGGGGGGGGGGGGCTGCACCCATCAGTCTATATGGCATTCCCTACCCCTGGCCTCCCTGGGAAGTCTTTACCTAGGCAGTCATAGCCAGGTGTCCGCTATGGATGTATTGCGGTACCTTGCTCCTGTGTGCTTGGAAGCTGGGAACCAATGTGTAGCTGGTACAAGGTAAGCCCATGTTTCATGCCACTGGAGTTTCAGAAAACATTGGTTTAGAACGAAAGGCACAAGAAAACTACGTCGTCCTGCTTGCTGTGTGATTTTTGAACAGCGATGTTTGAGGCAGCTTTTTCTCCCTACGTAATGAGCTGAAACAGTAACTATGCACGGTTTTACGGTGGAATACCCAGCATTATGATGAGTATGGTTATGTGACGTGTTGTACTTTTTCTGCAAGGCTTGGCAGGAGACTCTGTTTGCTTCAAGGGTTATAGAGTAACAGCAGCCTCCATAAATCTATTTTGTGTAGGGGGGGAGGTTGGTTGTTAATCTGCAACCCCAATGTATCCTTTAATTTGTGTCTTTAAACTCAAAACGTGTTAGAGATGGGAAAGGAAATGCAAGGAAAGCAGTGATGCCAAAAGAAATCTCTGAGTGACACTGGCTGTCAATTTGGACACAATTTAGTAGTTGTAAATGGCACCAAAAATTGCTAATAGGATTGTGGCCTGCAGCCATCTAGGCATTGCGCCATGCAGCAGGGATGTGAAAGTCCTTCTCCACATGGCTCTTTTGAGATCACATCTGGAGCAATACTAGCACTTGGCTTTTAGGAAAGAGTGTCATTTTCAGTTTACAGTTGGGGAATCTGAGATTCAGAGTTGAAGTGAAGCTGGGGCTCCATCAGCTAGAGAGCAGGAACCAAACCCGTCCTTGGCGCAATTCTCTAGCAGCAATGGTATTGCACAAAAGAAGAGATTTTTGACCTAGCATTTCCCAAAGAACTGATTATTTGGAAGAGCTTCTAATTTTCCATGTAGATTTTCCTTCTGGTTAAATTGCTCCCCTGTCTCCCGATCAGTTATCCAAACAACACAAATGAAAGGCCAGCCCTGTGCACCTCTGAGTACGTCCTCACAAATGTGCAGACAATGCCAGCAAAGCAGTTACATGAGCTGTTTTTTTAATGTCTTAGGAAATGTTGCTTGTTCCATTTCTGTGGGCTGGAATCCTTGGTAACTTAGGTTTATTACTCATGGAAGATGAATAGCACTAGGGTGGGAGAAGCTGAGGGAAAAGCCTTGGTTTGCAAGCACCATGGAGACTTGTGCAGTTGCATCTGGGGTTGAGTTGCTTCCATCTGCATTCATTAATTTCATCATATGGCTTCTCCTTCCATTTCCTGCTTATGCAGCTCTTGAGCAAGAGAGGTCTTATGTTCATCTCTTCTTTGTTGGCTGAAGAAATCGCTGTTAAATAGATTTTTTTTTTTCCTGGCCATTGCAAAGAAATTGGAAAAGGAAATTAACTGCACCCAGAAAGTACAAGTTTGGCAGGGTCTATATCATACCGTTTACCCTTCTGCTTGTATCCTACTCTGTGGTCTCCCATTTCCCAAGCATCCTGCAAATACCCAAGTACTTTTGGTTTGGCCTTTGAGTACTTTTCTGCCCTACAGTGCTAGCTGTGGCCACCGTTGGACCTGTTCCTTCCCCCCACCCCCATATTTGCCTGAACTTCAGGATAACCTCTCAGGGCATGTCCACACATGCAAGCATGTGCACTTGCAGCAGCTCAAATAGAAGTGGTGAAAATTTGAGCCGTGGCTTTTTGCTTCGCGCATATGCTTGGACGTGCACTTTGTTATGGAGCAAATTGTGCCACTTGGGGCAAATAACCCTGCCTGGCTCCTCCTGGATCTTCAGCCAGGGGGAGCTAGAGCCTGGGGCCAGCACCTGTGCTGTCCCCAGCAGTATAAAAAGCCGCCCTGTCAAGTAGCTCAGGGCTACTAGCTCTCAGGAGCTTCGAGGGCCCAGCCAATTGGGAACACTACCCCTTG